GGTGACAGACAGGTTTAGAACAGGAACAGACACCCAGAGACTGAGTGCGGTCTTGCAGAGCCCATGGACATGGAAGACCAGGAAGTGCTGAAGTGGCCTTCCTCCCGCAGAGGGGCTGGGTTCCATTCAGAGGGGACCCCTGCCAGCAGGTGGCAGTGCAGGCCTGGGCAGCAGCTGCACAGGCGGGGCCGCCCCAGTTGCTGAACCTTCCTCTTCCACATCCAGGGGCCTAGGGATGCTCACGGTGGGACTTTGGACTGCCTGATGCTCACTTTTGGTATTCTTCATGACTAGGGTTGCCGGATAAAACAGAAGATGTCCAGTGAAATATGAATTTCAGATAAACAACGAATACCTTTTAAGTATAAATATATCTCAAATATGGCATGTTCCAAATATTCCTAAAATATTTTTTGTTGTTCATTTGAAATGCAAAGTTAACTGGGTGCTCTGTATTTTTATTTGCTAAATCTGGCAAACTTATCCAGGGCAATGATGAGTTTTTAAAAGTGGATAAAGTTGTATTTCTTTGTTCACAAATATTTATTGAGTGTCAGTTATGTACAGACATAATCCTAGGGGCTGGGACATATCATTGAAAAGATAAACCAGGTCCCTGCCTTCATGGAGACTCCATGATGGTGTGTGTCCATGTGGGATGGGAAGGGAAAGACAAATAACAAATGAAATGAAATAAATGAAATCTAATGATCTCAAGTAGTGATGTGAGGGAAAACAAGACAGATGTAATCAAGGATGACCCTGGGTGGGTGGGTGACTAATTCACCTGGAGTGGCCCGAGAAAGCCTCCTTGAGCTGAGATTTGTGAAAACCTGGAATCAGGTTTCAGGTAGCTAGAAAAGCAAGGTAGACAGAGGACCAGAAGGAAAGCCAGCTGGAGGGGAGTGAAAGAGGGAGGAGAGGATATGTGGGAGGCTGGACAGGAGGCAGTAGCCAGAACTTTTGTAGGTATCACAGGCCCAGGAAAGGAGGTCCAGCTGGCATCATCTGATTTAGATTTTATAATGACCTGGACTAGAGATTGTCCAGGGCCAAGAGCTGAGGAAAGGGGACCAGTTAGTGGGTTATTGCAGTAGTCCTGACAAGAGGTGGTGTTTGCAGGGGTTGGTGGCAATGGAGATGGATAGAAGTGGTGGACTAGAAGTGTATTTCCTGTAGTACTGACAGGACTTACTGATGAGTTGGATATAAGGGAAACCAAGGACTCCTGGAAACACTCCTCAATTTGGGGGAATGAGTTAGTCAGCCTTCTGTTTCTTAGCGGGTAGTGCCTCCCAAATGTTGTCATGTCCTGGCTTACACAGAAGACAATATTTGCAGGGCATGTGGCTGGGAGGGCCTGGCATCAGGGGCTCCAGCCACCCCAGGCTCCAGTGGCCACTCTGAGCACCATGTCAGCCAGCCTATAACCCACTCATAGCAGTTCTCCCATTGGGGAGCTCTGCCTTGGGGGAGAATTTTCCAGCTGGAGCCACGTATGAACTGCAAAGGGCCCAAGGAGAGAGGGAAAGTCATGTCACGTGAAGTGCAGGAAGCACTCTCAGGATCAGGGTATTCCCTCAAGCAGCAGAAATAGAAGATTCCTAGAATTTGGGGCTGGGAGAGATTTTAGGAATGATCTTGTCCAACTCTCTTCCCTGCCTCTTTACACGGAGGAGTAAGAAAGCAGTCTAAAGTTCTCATTCATTTCTTCAGTATGACAAGTGCCTGCAGAGTGCTAGGTGCTATGCAATAGTGCCACTTGAGTGTGACCGTGGACTGGTACCCTGGTCTGTGACCAGAGGCTATGAAAATGGAGGGTAAGCCACTCTTATAGCAATTTGCTATCTAAGCACGTGATTGTTGGGCTTGCAGTTTCTATTTCTGTTTATTAAAGTAATTCATTTTCATTGTGTTTTACAAACGGATTAGTTCAAAATAGATTGAGGACTAAAATAACAATAGCAGCAACCATTTCTTGGCTGAAAACACTTGCCTCAGAGTCACAGGCAGGCCAGTCACGTGACTGTCAAGCCGCCCATATCCTCTCATTTCCCTCCTCCTCCATCCTGTCAGAGGTCCTGAGAGGGTCTCAGAGATCTCAGGAACTGGGGTTATTCTATATCCTCTGCTCTGATAAAAAAGATGATTCTTCTTCTAGGCTTCAGCTTTTTGCTCTTCTGTGAGTAGATTCTTAGTCTCCATTCTTCTTGTTCTGTAACCCCATTTCCCTTTCTCTGATCTTCAAAGTTTGGCCTCTTTTTCTTTCATACTTGGCTTTCCAGTTGTTCTCTGCCTTTGACTTTCACGTCTGTGTCCTTCTGCTGCCTCTGCCCACTGAGCTCCCTGGTGAGCCTGTGCCGGACCCAGTGCTGGGGTGAGCAGGGCTTCACTATTTTCTCGTTTCTTCTCTCCACAGCCAAGGATGTGATATGTAACGAAGTGACCCAGAGTCCCCCAGAACTGACAGTGGCCAGCGGCAATAAGGTGACGCTGTTCTGCACTTACAAAACAGCATACTCAAATCCAGATTTATACTGGTACAGAATCAGGCCGGATTATTCCTTTCAGTTTATCCTTTACAGAGATAACGCTCGCTCCCATGATGCCGATTTTACTCAGGGTCGGTTTTCTGTGCAGCACGGTAAGACCCAGAAAACCTTCCACTTGGTGATCTCCTCAGTGAGGACTGAAGACAGTGCCGTTTACTACTGTGCCATCCTTCCCACTGTGATGCAGGTGCTAAGGAAGTCTGTGCACAAACCCCTGGGCACAGCCTGACAGAGCTATCTTTCAGGGCAGCTCCTGTCCTTGGACATGTCATCTTTCTTCCCAGTCATTTTGTGTTCCAGCCTGGCCTTTAGAGGTGCCCTAACATGTCTGCTGAATAATAAAATGCCTGATCACATCCAGGGATGCACCCTGGCTTCAGATGGAGCAGAGCGTTTCCCTGCTCAGTGGGCTCTTGCTACCTGAGTGCCTCATAGCAGGAAAAGGAGAGCTGCATGTCTGAGGGATTATGGGCTTTGTGTCCCCAGCATCCAGGTGGCACCTGATACAGAGAGGGATGTGACCAGTATGTGTGGCGTGTGCTGTGAGGGTATCAGAATGGTGCCGGTGAAGAGCCGATCTAAGGAGAGACCATCAGAAGTAGCTTTATTTCAGTCTCTGTCATTTATCCATCATTGTGAACTGGTCTGTTTTCTTTTTTAAGAATCAAATTAGACACAAAGTTATTTACTTAAACAAAAATTTACCTAATTTACCTTTCTTCTGCTTCTTGTTGTGCAGGCACTTTATTTCTCCTGGATTCTCTTTGACACCTCCATTTTAGTTATTTTACTTGCAGAACTGGTTTTCTTTCACTAAAGAGCATTGAGATATTCCCAGAAAGTTGTCTGTCAATCTCAAAATCCTAGCTTCAAAATTGCTGCGTTTGGACTCAGTGATGTCTCCAGTGGAGATAATTACCTCCAGGGAGACCAGCTATGTGATGTCAAAATAGATACACCCTCAGCCCCTGGAATCGGCCCCTCCTTCGTCTACTTCTATTGAATCCTCTGTCATACAACGGATATTAGAGTGAGTAGATGTAATCTTAGAAAAAGTAGAAGGATTAGGCATTATTTTATAGGGAATAAACTGAAGCCCAGAGAAGTGAGAGGTGTTTCCAAGGTCAGATAGCTGGTGAACGACAGAGCCAGGGGTGCTGCGCTGCCCTTCTAGGGCTCTCTCCTGCAGCTGCCCCCAGGAGGCTTTATCAGGAGGCGGTTTGGGCAGCAGTTCACCTGGGCTTCAGAACAGGTGGTGAAGAGCAGTCACGATAGAGAGGATGGAAAGAACTGGGCGAGGGAACAAAAGGCCTTGGGCAAATGACTCAGCCTCCCGGGCCTTCTGTTGTGCTGCCTTCTGAATGTGCAACAGTCTCCCCGAGACTTAAATGAGATGCTGCAGGTGAAAGCTCTGGAAAACTATCCACAGCAGGGGAGTCCCCAGACTTGAAGGCAGCTGCAATCCCCTCTGGCTCCTACCTTAAATCTTTTCTGGAAGCTCCTTTCTGTAGAAGAAATTCACGGTCCTGTAAAATGCTAGGATGTCTTTTTCTGATGAGCAAGGTGGGCCAGAGGGAGGCTCGTTCACATGCTAAACATAGGACAATCCTGAAGTTTAGTCCAGCTGAACTTCCATGCACCACCTTGCCTTCTTTTGAGGATGCAATCAGCTCTAGTAGAAGGAATTTGGGGCTGGCATTCTTTGATAACTTGGTTCCGCTCTAAGCGATATCCCTGCCTCGTTAAATGACTTTGGACAAAGTACGTATCTTTTGTGTGTGTGGGGCGGGGGATACATTTTTTTCCATCTGAAAAATGAGGATGTGATCTTTTTGTTCTTAGCAACTTCAGAGAAACATTCTAATGTGGCCCAAGGTAACAGATATGAATGTTTTAGGAACACAAGGTGAAGTTGTATGAAATCTTTTAATGATTTTTCCATGGATGGACCTGGCTTACCCATTTAGAATGTTCTAAAGCAGTTGACTCATAGTGTTACTGCCTCCTTTCTTTGGTTTGTGCTGTGAAGACATCATGTGGGAATTTGCAGATGGCAAAGGCAGGGGGAGCTGTTGGTGATGGCTGCTCTTTCACTTGTAACTTCATAATGCCCCACTTGACACCCCATGTTAGGTGCCGAGGAAACCACAATCCTGGGTTGCTAGAGCCCTGCTACCTGCATGGGTGCACCTGGGAAAAGCTGTGGCCTTGCTGAGGTGGAGTGGCAGAACTTACTGGCCACATTTGGGGCACTGCTGTTGTTACTGCTGTATCAGCCACAGCAACAGCAGGAAATGAGTGCTGAGTCCCAAGGCAGGAGCCTGTGGGCTGGGGGCTCAGGAAGCGGCCGTGTGACCTTTAAGCTCAGTATGGCTTTTGTCTGACTAACATTGAGCTTATGGGGCCCACTTTACCCTTGCGGTGGCCTACAATGAGTAAAGCCAGAGGTGAGGCACATACAATGCACTTTAATAAACGCAACAGGCAGCATTGGAGAAGAACAGCCAGAAAACTGTCAACACCAGAGGCCCAGGCAAAAGTCAATGTCCAGTGACTTCAAACTCCCAGTTCACAGACTGGTAGGCTAAAGATAGAAAGATATTGTTTTTACAGGGGAAATCTAGAAGTCTCACTCCTATCTCTCCCTCCGTAAACACTTGCACAGTGAGTTCTTGAAAGCAAGGCCCATGTCTTATCTATCTTTGCATCCTCAGCACAGTGCCTGGAACATAGAGGCAGTAATTCGTGTTTGTTAAATCAATTAAGAGAAAGGAGTGCATTTCCTCTGTGTTTTACTCTGCTCTCTGCTAACAGCTTGGGGAGTTAATTTAGATGAGAATTTAGAAACTCCATTCCCTACTTGGAGAGTATCAGGGAAGTCAAAGGTAATTTTGTTATAAAGTACTAAGACAGAAAGTGCTTTTGTGGACAAGATGCCAATTTGGGGCAAATCTAGTGCTGGATTGAGCAGAGCCTTTCATATTTAGGTAAAGGACACCTGCTCTCCTTCCTCCAGGGTCTGTTTTCCTCTTGGAGAATGGAGCTGGGAACCCGTTGGCTCCCACTTTCTACTTCTAGAGGCAAAAGAAAGTCAAAGGAACAAAACATAACTTTCAAAGCATATCAGTTGTAGGAACAAAAAAATGAGCCCCATATCCCTTTATATCTCTATATCCCTTTTTAAAGCAGCATAGAAAGCAGTTAGGACTATTAACCTCACTCCCCTGGACTTTGTCTCTCCACTAGGCTGCAGGATGAGCTGGGTTTGTTGCCTTCACAGGAAAACTGGTTTGGGTAGCAGTCTTTTAAGCAAGGCCGAGACAGGTCCACTTGAATCCCCAAGAAATTGGAAGCCTAGGAGACAGCACTTCTGTAGCTTTTGGTTTCTTTCAGGGAGTATAATCTTCTCATGCCAGTTAGCCTGCAAGTGAAGGAAAATTGTCAGAGTTGTTATAGAATCATAGTCCGTCAGTGCTGGAGGAAATCATCGCAGTCGTGTAGTCTGGGATGGCCAGTGCATACTGTGGCTGTACCATTGCAGACGTCACTAATCTATCGTGGCATGTTTCCCTTCTACACACGGCAATAGTTCAGCCGGTCAATATCAGGTTATCAATGTTGGCACAAATCATGAAACCCATTTGCTCTCCTTTAGTTATTCTTAACTCCTTTGTTTTACAGATGCAAAAACCTAGACCCAGAGAGGTGAAGCAACCTGGCTAAGGTAACACAGTGAGTTAGTGACAAAGTCAGGACCAAAACCCAGATCTTCGGACTCCTACTGTCATGCTCCTTTAATACAGCCATACTGCCTGTGTCCTTAGGACGGTTAGTAAAGAGTCACTTGTTGGGGAATGACTAGGTGTGCTTGCAGACTGGGTTGGATCAGTCCAACACTCCAAATCTAAGGCTGTACCCAGATCATGAGCTGGAACTGAGGAGTATTTAGGGTATTGGAGAAGGAGCTTCATAGGCAACCCTAGGCTCTGGTTTGAATTTCATGTCTAAGATTACCTGAAGAGGGAATGCAAGTAACAGGCAAATAACTAATGTCTCAACCTCTACTTCATATTCACCCTGAGTAGCTAGTAGTGGGCTGTTCACTACTAATGGGGGCATAGGTTCAACCCAAAGATAGGCTATCTACACATGGAGTCCTATGATAAAGGATTGGGAGCTGGCATCCTCTTTGTCTGGGCCAAGACAGATTCTGCTCCCAGTGAATATTCTTCAGATGAAGCTTTACTGATGGCCTTGCAAATAACCCATGGCCCCTTGGCCAGATAAACAACATATCAAGTAAAGAAAACTATTTCTCCTTATTTATCTCCCATTATTTTAGCTCATGGGGTGGAGGTGGGTTATTGGCTGGTATTACATTACACTACATAATGGGTTATGAGTCTGGCTTGAAATAAAAGGATAACAGGAGATGAGATGTTACCCTGAGTATCTGAAACGGCCCACCCCATTAAATCGCAATATGTCTTTCCTTCTCAGTGCTTCTTGGTCTCTTCCCATTCCTAAACTCCTTCTCTTCATGTATAGCATAGTTTGGGTGGAGGGAGAAATAAAAAACAGCTAATTCTTACCTTAAAAGAGAAATAACTTGGCAGTCAAGAGAAAATTGATGGCAACACTTTTGGCAAACAGCATTCGGAGCCCCAGCACTGTGAGGGACAGCATGTTCACCTTCTCGGCGTGAACTGTGGTGGGATGAGAGTGAAGATGTTGGCTTCAGCGAGAACCTAAATTCCCTTCCAGAAACTGGGCCCACAATACTGACAACAGCCTGCCCTGGATCACCACTATTCTTCTGGTCTGAAGCCCAGCTTGGTGGCAGACAGTCCTCAGAGACCTAAGGCTCCTGCTCACACCCAAATAGGCAAGCTTTGGAAAACTGTGCTTACAGCCAGGCAAGCTCTGCTAGGAGATTCAGAAGGAACCAACTGGGCTCAGATATGTTTTTCATTTTCTTTTGAAATCTGATGATTTTTGGCCCTAGCCGACAATTACAGAGTTTGCTTAAACTCTCAATTCTGAAGTTGGCCCTTTGATTTCAACTAACCTTTGGGTTCGTGGCAGATCTCTGAAGTTTTATTTGAGTTTTCATGTTTCATTGGTTCGGGATCACCTGGAGCAAACAGCAGTGGTCAGGGTTACACAGGCAACCAAGAGGCTCAAAGGATTTCAGGTTTTAACACTAGAGGAGACTTTAAGTAAGTAAACTGAGGATCAGAGGTGTGATTTGGTTAAGGTCATATAGCTATTTGCATAGTCAACATACTTCCTCTCCTGGGCTTTTTTCCTTATACCATGAGACCCACTTCCAGCTATGCCTCTAATTTGTAGGAAGAACTAGGATTCCTAACCCCATGATAGGGTGGGCTGACCTTTGTTTTGGCATCCACACTAGATTAGACTGCACATGGATTTTCGACTCCAGAATATGGTAGTAGGATAGTCATTAGTATGAAGGAGACATTGGTTGGTGAAGAGGCAAGCTGAGGATGAAGTGCAGTGGGTTTCATCTTAGATTCCAGCTCAGGGATGCAGAGAATTCAATTCCCAGCCAATGACAGGCTATCGTTGGGCCTAAGTCTTGTGTCCAGCATGATGCCATATTGAGAATGATCTGTCAAGAGTTTACATGTCCAACTTCCCTTTCCCTCAACTTTTCTTCCCCACAATTCCAGACCATTGAGCCCAGATATGACGTACCTGAACTTCTCTTTGACCTTCTTTGACTTTTTTCAAAGTACGTGGAGTTAAACTTTTCATTCTCATGTTGAACTAAACATGTCACTGAATTTGGATCTTCAAACTGACCAAGCTTGACAGCACTGTACTTCCCACTGGGAGAGACGACGATAGCAGGCTCAAATTCTTTTATTGTCTTGGGTGATTCAAAGCTTATTTTTATATTCTTGGGGTAGAAATCCTTTACCAGACAAGCGACATTCGTCTCATTTTTCATGATGAAAACAGATGGTTTGGCAACAGGCTGACTCCCTGCAAATATAATCAGTTTATTTCTTGAGATGATTATTCATAACATGGGAGAGTTAAACAATGGTGTTTACCTCAATTCCCCTGGGGCCAAACATTACAATCCAGACTTTCCTGCATCCTGTTAGTGACATGGGCTTGTTAGCACCTTCATGAATGGATGGCCAAGGGGTGAAGAAATGAAAGGCAGTCAGTTTGGCTTCTAGTTAGGAGCTGCTAAGAGATATAGCTGGGAGCAGAGATGGAAAGTAACAACTACAAAGAAGCTTCTGGATCACCTGAGTTTCAGGTGTCTATGTTTTATTAGTGAATTCTCTGGACAATCGAGGTCAGGTTGAATATCTGTCTGCATTGGTTGGTTTATTTTGAATGCATGAGCCCTTGGAGGGAGATCAGGGCAGGTGCTCATGCTTTGTATTATGTCAGTTAAAGAATCAAGGGTCTGAGAAGGGCTACTATAACTGGCTCGAATGCTCCGAGGATGGCAGTGTTGGGGTCACTTCAGGGTGTCACGCCCATTTTATGGACTGGAAGCAATCTGCTGAAGTTAAGTGGTACATCTCTCTGCCTTTAGGTGAATCCTTATTCTTTTGTAAGGGCTTCCTACAGTTTCCTTTGAGTCTTTAATCAAAGAATAACCACTATCAAACTCAGGAAGTCCTCATTGACATAAAACTAGTTTAAGCCCATTTCTTGTTTTATTTTAAGCAGAAATGTGGAACGTTGGTCCCAATAATTGGGTCTCCTCCTGGCCCTTTTTCCTTTCACACCTCACCATGGACTGCCTCTGTCGGCTACTCTGTGTATGCATCTCTTTCTTTCCTTAAAACCACAAGTCTTCAAGTTTTGAGGGAAATAGTAATGATTCTTTCCCATTGCACCTTATTGAAGTTTCTAAACTGTGATAAATTTTGCGTCCACAGAGACTTTGATTCTCAGGCTACCTTTAGATACCCGCTGAGAAAAGAACCCTGAAAACACCTGAAATCAGGAAAGAGAACCAACATGTGAATGGTGATGTGGATATATTTCCAATCAGAAGTTAAACTGGTGATTTTTCAATATTAATTGCTCGTGTGAATATGGCTCTTAGTATTTAAAAACTTAGGTGAGTTTGGCTTTTTGGCATCAAATTAAAAATGTTGAATTCCAGCGTACTTTTATTTACTATGGTCTACCATCAAGACATAAGGTATTGCTAAACAAAAAGTCTTGGTAATGAAAGTGTAAACAGAGTGATTTTTCTAGTGCTCTATCTTGAATCTGGATTTGGGCTTCAGCTGTGAAGCTCGTGGTAGTAAAGCTGGAGGCAGATCAGTTGGTATATCTGACTGAGAGGGAGGGATTTCTGGTGAGGAAGTTCCTGCTGGTCAGCACTTTGTAAATGGAACTTGGCCCACCAGGACTTTCCTGGGGAATTGGCTGTTCAGAGAAGCTCCCTCAGCATTACCGTGTTACTTCTCCATTTTTTTTCTTTGCTGGGAAACTCAGCTAAAAGACTGAATTCTGTTCCAGTCACTCAGGGTAGAAAACTCATTCCTTAGAATCTGGTTCCTTATGTTTTTGACCATAGCTCTAGACAAAGAGGAAGACTGGGGATTTTTCAAAGGGCTCTCCTGGAACCTGCTTTCAACTGATGTGAGAAAACCTTCATTGTTTTGTTTCCTGGCATAGCTGAAGCCACTGATAACAGACGCTGATAACCCCAGCAGTAACGGCTTGGAAACCACATGTTTTGCTCATTCACCTCCCTTCAGAACTGCCTCATTTCTTGCTTACTATACTGACTTTGGTTTGAGATGTATTCCAGTTGCTTTTCAAGAGTGTTATGAATTTTAAAGAAATGAAACCAGTCCATTAAAGAACAAAAACAAAACAGTCCTATCTCCTTGGCTACTTAAGAGTATGACCCAATCCTAGTCTGATTTAGTTAGATAATTAAGGCTTGCTTGGGATTTTAAAATCTAAAATCAAAGGCAGTTGTCAATGATCACTTTGCTCTAGAGAGACTTGTTTTGAAGAAGTTGAACAATATAATATAGCTGACACGGCAGATGTCTAACGAAGGTCATAGCACACTTATGCTATTGAGCTCCGAATCTGTTAGTCAGCATTTCAGATAGAGCAGAATGCACTAATTTGGTAAGTAATTTTTCTCAGACCCTCTTTCTCAATTCATGTCTATCTGTTCAAAACAATTTTTTGAAAGCACAGTGTTTTATCAAATCCATTTTTTTTTAAACATTATACTTCATTTATTCATCCAAATCTCCTTCTTTTTCACAGCCCCGGCTCCCCCATTATCATTGTCATGAGGACTCAATAGTCATCCTCCTTTCTCTATGGTCAAATCCATTTTTTAGATATCATAGTAACCAAAGAAAAGGCTGTCTGACTCAACTGAACATTTTTCAATATAGTTGCCATATGCAACCTAGTCTATTTTATATTTGATTTAAACCAAAATTTGAAGTTGTATAAAATTTGCGCTATTGTAGTCCCAAATTTAAATTAAAGATATAATTGTTTATCTTTTGAGAATTTCCAGTCTTTCTTCTTGGTCCACAAAAGTAATTACATTTCAACATATATTTCAAAGTGCTGTTTGTATGGACAATTATTTTATTTTCAGACTTTCTCTTTTTATGGCTACCAATCCAATACTAAGGTTATGTGCTGGTAAACAATACAAAAGGAAGTGTCTACCTTTCCTGAACAGTCTTTCTTAATTCATAAACTTGGAAATGGTCTATGTTTTAGATTTTCATAGAGAGTCCTACTGGTTCCCTAAAAATTGCAACAACTATAACCCATGTCACTCACAATTTCAAGGATCTCTGCCAATATGGGATTTAATTTGAACACTGAAATATAAGTTTGCTTGATTACTCTGACCGGGTTAACCACCTCTCTCCTGAGTCTTCCAAGCTGCAGGAAGTTTGGTTTCAGGTTGCAGTGAGGCAGGCACACTAACAGTCAGCTTAGCCAAAGATATGCGCAAGGATGAAGCAACTTCCTGGAGCATTTGAGCCAAAGTGACCCTGCCACTGCCTGTCCTGCACCCATATACTCCAACTTTTAGTATAATTATTCCAGACCTCTCTGTGTTTTCTGAGTTGCTCTGAAGATTTCAGAAATGTGTGAGCTTTAGTTTTAATATATGTTTTTTAAAAATAAAAATAGTTACAGAGCTACTTCAGCGACTCAGCCTGATGTCTACTCTGACCCACACTACATCTATACTATTCCATCTCCTAGTTATACTTTCTCAAGTAACATAAACTGGATGGCAACCCCAGTCCCAGGACTCAGTTTATCCCTAGAAATATAGGGAAAAAAAATCAACTCACGGGACTCCACGAAGAGTTTGATGCCAGCTCCGAAAAATATCTGTCGGGTGTCCCAGGAGCACATTGTGATGATGCCTCACAGGTAACCATCCTGGGGCTGGCTCTGGGGCCTGGGCTAGAACATCTGTGCTCTGCCACCCCAGTCTGCATCCCAGCCTAGAGACCCCACAGCTCAGAGAACTACAAAGCTGCCCTTGATAAGATCAGGGGGCCGAGTGCATGGGGTCTCAGTGCCCTTTGAAGCTAATAATAGTTTAACTGTTGAATAAGGATGTGAGCATGAAATCTCCAGCTGAGGAGCACTGGGACAGGGGACAGGGCTGAGACAGAGCAAGAGAGAGGGTGACGGGTGACAGTTGACCAATAACTGCCTTCAAGATGGAAAATTTAACTCCCAGTTTCTTGGGAGGGCTCTCCAAGAAGAACACAATACTTGGGAGTAGGGATGGGGCACTGAACATTAACATTTTTTATAATGAATGTTAGGCCAAGGAGGGTTTAGATACAGGTCTTGTTCTCATATTCTGGTTCCCTTCTCTTGGGTCATATACTACTTTTTGATTAGAAATCTAATTTCTCCCCCATCACTCAGACTGAGTATCACAATAATAATGAATCTGCTTTCTAATTCCCTGAGACCAGTGAAAGACTTTCTAAGAACCTGAGTGTTGAACAAGAAATTGGTAGCTGACAGGGGGTCCCAGGGGTGCCATGTGTCATGGATTCAGGTCAGAGAAGCCAGTGCTTGCTTTGGATCACTTATTTTTGTTTTATAATTTATCCTGACTCTGGATCTAGATACAAGTCTCAGGAGGATAGAGTAATCATGTGAAATAGAATTTAAAGACTATATAGATTACTCTGTCTCATCACCAAAAATCAAGAGTCTAGGCCTAGAACTAGGCAAAAGGGAATGACGGTTGTATACGGCCATTATTTGCTGCCCAAACTTTATGGATCGGGGCCCTGATTTGAAATTCTCACTCCCCCTGCCTGAGCTTTGCATCATCATAGTACACTCCATCACTGCAGGAAGAGAAAACCAGAGAAGCAAGCGGAGTATGACGGGGGAGCGTGGGTCAGTGTCCCGGCAGAGAGGCCAAGCATCAATGTCATCTCTTTCTTTCTCTCCTAAGACTTTCAAAGGCACAGCCTCAGAGATTCAATTCTAACACTGCAGATAATTCTGAATTTCAAGTGGAAATGATTTGAACGGAAAATGAAACACAGTACTTTTTGCTCAGATGCAATTTGCCCAACATCCATCAGGCTGCAATCAGCTATAAGATGATCCTGTTTCCCTCCTTCTTTTCATTGGTCTAGTCTCTCTCCTCTCAAAGATAATAAAACTCACCAAATTCCTCTATTTCCCTGGAAGCAACAGGCAATCAAGAACCCCTGTAAATTCATATTACCCCCTGAGAGGCAGAGACCATTTGATACCACCAGTCACTTTCAGGACTGTCAGATAGCCTGGCCACATTCACATACCTTTCTCTACTTCTTTATATTCTCTGAAATAAACAAAATCAAAATCTAACCATGTAAGGGGTCCTGCCTGCCCATTGGACTTGGCATTTTGGGAAGCTTCTGAAACACTATTCTCAGGACTGGTCCCAGTGATTGACTATTGGCAGCTACCCAAACTACCTGAATATAGCCCCTGGATCTCCAAATACTGGAACAGATTATCAGTGGACAATGTCTCCAGTAGAACACCAATAATTCTCTAGTGTCCTGAATGTGTTTCTAAATTGGGTGTAGGCTCCTGAACCCCCTGCAGAGCCCTCAGAGTTACATCTAAAGGGGAGGAGAGCACACAGCTGCCCTTGGCAGACTTGGATGAGGATGGGACCTCGGGCTTCATTTAGCCTGAACCAGGCCTGTTGGTTTAATGCAAGATCTCAGCAAAAAGAGACAAAGGCTTGATTGGCTTTTGTCATCGGAGGGAGAGAAGACTGTCTTTTGTCTAACTCCTTCTTCAGTACACTTTTCTTCTTTCTATTCTTCCCTCTTCCCACACCCTGGCCATGACTCTCTTCCCTCATAAACAGTGGAGACACTCTCCTCACCTAGAGCTTGCCTTTTCCCTGGTCCCAGTCCCTGATGAGGGAGCCAGAAACCTGACTAAGGGTTTTATTTAGGCAGTTGTAGAAGACTTATCAATACTAGTCCTCAGAACAGAGTTGCCAAGCATACATAGAACATTTTCTTAAGAAAAATCTAATGGATTTGTCCCCAAGTTTTACCCTGACTGTTTGCAACAGCAACAACAACAACAAAGACACTGGGTTTCCAATTTTGCCCCTCCTGACTGCCCAAGAAGCCCCATTCATTCAGGACTATGCTACAAAAACTCCAAGGCAATACACACGCTGGAGTAAAATGGTAAAATGCATCACTTACTTGCTTCCACGATGAGTTGAGTGCCTCTTCCGAAGATGAGCTTTTCTGTTGGACACCACCTTACACATCATTACAAAAACCTTTGCTACCTATGTGCCCCCTGTCTAGTCCTCTTTGGAAGGGGGTGGGTGGAGCAGAACAAGTGTAACTGGAGACACAGAACTTTGTAAGGGTTTCTGAGATCTAAGATCTATTTTGGCAGCTTGTTTGATGTGTGTTATCTTCTAAGTGTTGACATTTAAGGAAGTCCCTAGGTTTTCTGCTATTTTCTCCTCAACACACCATTACTTACTCCCAGATCTTGCTTCAGGATCATATTTTCTCAGGGAGAAAGGAATCATTTTCGCTTTGCTGAGACTTGCCAAATGGCTATTGTCAGCATAAATGTAATTATACGGCTCAAGTCAATCATAATGGGCTATGCCTCAGTAGAGGTGGAAGGACATGATGGTTGGAGCAAGAGCCATTGATGCAAAAGACTTAGAGTCTATCCAAAGGATCATAACAATCGTAGATGACTATGATTTGTATAAGTACTTTACTGCTTACAAACAGCTTGTGTTTATGCTATCTCAAGAAACATTGTAACAAACTCCATGAGGTGATATTAGGTCCATCTTACAGATGAAGTCCCTGAAGCTAAGAGTGGTTAAGACACTGAGTGACTGAGCTAGGCCTCACTTGCATGTCTCTGTACTCCAATTTCCATCCATTGAACCAGAGCAATAGATGATAGGACTGGAAGGCGCTTCGGCTGTCACTTGTCAAAATCTCTGTGGTCACACAAGGGCTAATTAATGGATGCATAGGGAGACTTTGGACTCTTTTCCAGTGTTTTTTTTTTCATTAAATCATAGCATTCCTACTGGGTTGTGGGACACTCACACCATTGGACTTTCTCGCTTTTCCTACTGAATTGCACCTAAAAATTGGTCTGGATGATAATCAAGATTGCAGTGTGTTAAGTTGGAAGCCACCTTGGAAATCATTCAGTCTAGTTAGGTGGAAACTAGAGTTCATGAAGTTAAGTCAAAGAGCTTGTCAGTCAGAGAGAAAGACTGGAATTTGGTCTCTGAATTCTTGGTCTAACATGCTCCCTACGACCCCTCACATTTACTAGATGTACTGTAGTGCAGGTCTGGTCATAGCCTAGATCTGTAAATGGGGAGCACACTGGTGTTCCGGAAGCTGGTTCTCTAAAGTTAGTCAGGGAGGCAGAAGACGATGGAAACTCTCCAGGAAGGACAGTGGATTGCGAAGACTACTGCAGCACTCACCCCACGCTGGATCTTATCAGAAACTCAGTTTCTGTTCCTTCAACCATCCCTTGCTAAATTACATGCTGAAGGGATTTTTCAACAACTTGAAAAGTGTTTCCCAAGCTAGTGATGTGGGAAAATATTTAACAGAGATAATTGCCAAATATAGTGGTCAGAAGAATGAAAAACGGGTCACTTATGTGGTTCTACCTCCAGATAGAGTCCTTTGCCAAAAATAAATAGATTTGGCATAGCTGATAAACCTAATCTAAAAATCGCCTTTCTTTCTTTGTACAGCAGCCCTTGTCCCGGTTGCTAAGTCACCTGATGCCAGCGGACGGGAGTTTCTGTCTCATCTGGCCTAACTTCTTTTCTCCTCAGTCTTGGGGCCATCCTTCAGGACAAAGCAGGTGACTCGTGTCAAACAGAAATCTAGGCTTTTGCCATGTTAAAATGGAATTTGTGCTCCGAAGGAGAGAGACTGGAAAGGAGTTCCTCAGTTTGATCAGGAGAAAAGAAAGGTGGAGTGTTGGTCATAGAGGAGTGGTTTGCAATCTTTGGGCTGCACTCAGGTGGGGCAAAGATCTAGTGCATTACGTACCCCACTCATTTCCACCTTCTCGAGGAATTCTGCTTCATATCCAGTCAGAGCTTTGCATCCTGGCCAAGGAAGGTGCAGCAGCCAGACTTCTTAGTATAAAATAGAATTAGAGTCTTGAGCACATTTTAATAACATATTCATGAATTTCAAATTTTAGCAAGCTTTAATGATGCACACTGAGAAGTGACAGGTAAGTTTGCCTCTGTCATATGTAAAAAATCAGGGTCTATGAGATGGCCTGTGGGTCACTCAGAAAAACCAGGGAGAAAATAGGTGTTTCCAGATCAGTTCACAGCCTATAAAGTTCTGCAGATCATACTCTGAGCATCACTAAAATGGACTGTGCTCCTCAGAGAGGTGAAGCAGAAAGAAAACCTGAAATGTAGTTCCCCTCTGTCCCTCACTGGCTGTGTAATTGTGGCCAAAGTCCTGAAGTTCCCTGGGCTTCCCTTGCCTCTTTTATAAAATGAGGGTAATATCTTCAGACCGGGAGGTTGCAAGATTAAGCAAAAGGGTGTAGATGAAGCAATCTGTAAACTAGAAAACTGTGGTGTGATTATTAGAATGTTTATCAGCCTTAGACTCAGAGAAAATCAGTTTTACTTGAAGCAGGAGGACTGTCACGACAGTAAGCTGAGCTCCCTGGGGCAGGATTGTGGGGAGGGGTTGCTGAGGGAGGGGGAATCCTGTTCCCTCCATCTTCTTAGGGCTCTGTGTGAGGCCTGGAATCAGGTTTCTGTCTCCCTTGGTCTTTTCTCTAGGTCAGGGGTGACCTCCACTCCATTCTCCAATCTTCCTGTTCGAAGCCAAAAG